AAACCCAGGGATATTAATGAAGATTCATCTGTACGAGTTTGGGAAAAAAAACTAGAACTAATTGTGTTGTGATTCTCTGGCAATGTTATTTAGATTACCAGGATGCCTATGTTCACTGTACTTCTCTCAGATATAATGCCTTTTCGTGACATCTGTATACTTAAATGAAGAGTGGAATATTCCTATATCTCAGATTATACGGAATAATCAAAAGAATCCAGACATAAGTTACGTGCTTTTTGTGGTTAAGATTAGTGAAAAATGTGCTGCTTTCAAGAAAGTACTGCAGTATTTCCTGCACTTTGGGGGAAAATGAGCAAACAAAAAAACCCAAACATGTGCATGCCTAAAGATGTTTAAAAAACCCCGAACTTTTTCATTATTGTATGTAACATTATCTGCTTGTGCTTATCCAAAGTCTGTTCTTGCTTTTCTTGTGACTATAACCTGTTCAACATAATCTGCGTGTAATGTGAGAGCGCAATTTCTTGATAGCTAAGTACCGAATACAAATTTTGTGAAGTACCGATAGCAGGTTGGCACTCAGTTCCGTGCTTGGGACTGGTACTCCACTAAACCTTTCACCGGGAATTACTTCTATAGCTAGCTAAGGGCGTGTAAACAAAACCTGCAGCTATAGAACCCCAAATAACAAGAAGATATTGCTGTTTCCATCCCCCAAATTAAAACTAAAACCAATTTCTAACACTGCTAAATGCACCTCTATGTCAGTTTGCGTAACATTTGAACATTCTTTCTCAGTGTACATTAAAAGAGACTGTTTTCAAATCATCCTCTCAATGTAAGTAATGATATTTTGACCACAACTTTTGTACAGGCAAATGATGGGCTGTAAAAATGTAGCTGAGCATCAACTGGTGGCATTTTTTAACAGGGCTGTGTAATTTGAATCTATGTTGTGTGTTCTCCATCGCAGAATTTGCTGCTGTTTCAAACTATTCAGTCATTTTCAGCAGTTCTGGAGATTCTAGGAGAGTTCCTGTTTTGAGGGGATTAGTGTTTGCTCTCACTGTTGCCATATTGACAACTCAGCTAAGGCGAGCTTATTTTAAAAAAGCTGTTTCTAACTCTTAAAGCTGTGAAAATTTATCTTGAAAAGGTGACATGACTGCCACTGATTCAGTCATATGAATCACTCTGAAACATTTATTTTGAGAATTTTGCGCTACCTGCTAATCTCAGTGAGGTTCTAGCTGTGAAATGTAACGATGACAATTTATAAATTGTTTTTTAAAAGCATTTAGAAGCACAAATCCCATTCATTTGGGAATAAAATTTTTGCTCCTAAATTATCAAAGCACTTGAAAAAAAATTCCAGTTAGCTATTTCTCTGCCAATAATTCTAACATAAGTATCCAGGTAATACTGTTTCCAAATAATCCAAACCTATCTCATGCCTTTCCTTTGAAAAACAAGTTTCCAGTTTTTCACTGTAGCTATGTGTTGTCTGTTTAGAAAAATACCGTACACTGTTATGAAGTGCTGGTAGGCACAAAATCATCAGCACGAGGGTCCTACAATGTTTGAACTCGTATTTGTTTGACCTAAAACTGTGGTACAGGACCAAGGCACCCCACCACCCCACCACCAGAAGTGAGCTCAGTTTACCTGGCTGCACATCTTTGAGCCTGTAGTTCAGGAGACACGTTGCCAGACAGAACACCCTCAAGGCTAGTCCAGAGCCCCTCCGAAACAACAGCCTCATCTGGAGCCCGTGTCTGGCTGAGAAACGGGCTTAGGAACAGGAAAAATTTCAAGTAAGAAATTTGATAATTAGAGTCTAACCTTTATCTTCTCTGCTTTTGTGTGCACAAAATACAACTGCTGTATTAAGATGGAATGTATTTTAGAGATCCACCACAGACTCATACAGTATGAATGAAACAGTAAAAAAATCTTCCCCGCAACATAATCATGAAAAATAATCAGGCAACAGCGGAAATAATTTTTTCTTAATGTTGCAGAGTGCTCAGAGATCATAATATAAAAGACCATTTAAATTTACATATTCACTATCTTTGTAAATTCTAACTATGCAAACTTCCAGACCTCAAACTTTATTTTCCTGTATCATTCCACTGAGTAAAACAGAAGCAGGCATCTGAATGGCAAATGTTTTTTAACTTGTTTCTCATTTGGCCAGACGCTAGGGGTTCAGAAAACTTAGGTCGATACCAAAGTTAGTGTCTTATATGAAAACTGATGAACACTACTACAGAGTTACTTCTAGTAGAAAGAAGTTCTCCATTTTTAGAAAGACAAAAATAAACTAAGAGGAGGTAATGACACTGAGTGAGTTTTGAGGTAGACTTTTTAACTAAAAATTAATTAAGCATTGTATGTAACCATTTGTTTTCTCAAAATTTAGTCTGAGGTTTAACATTCTTTCAGCCTCCTCTGCTGCACGCTGAAAGTCAAAGTTTGGCTCTATCATTTACGTATTTTGGTTTACTGTTCCCTGCCAAGGGGGCATGATTCAGTCCGACTCATTCATCTGTTAAAACAAGGCTTGTTCCAATATTAACTTGGGCCAAAACAAATCTGACACAGAGAGTAACGAAACCCAAGTTCACTGTCTTTGCAGTTTTATGCAGACTTTAACCGAAATTGCTTTCTGGCAGTACAGTTGTGACAATTTAGCATAATTTGGCTCCTCTGTATCAGATTATTCTTGCTTTCTTACAACTGCACATTATAGAAACATCCTATAATGAGGGGGGTTTTGGATTAGTAATTTTAAAATAAAAATTATAGTAATAGTTTTATGTTTGGCAATTGCCGTTTTGGTTGTGCAAGTACGAGGTTATACATCACACCGCTTGCCTATTATTTTTTGTACTTTTGAAACCTACAGTTCACTTAATTGAAACACGCATTAAGAAAAAATGTGCAACAAAACATTATTCACATTCAAAAGATGGGGAAAAAATAACGTCTTTTACCTTTTGTCAGCAAAACCATCACTCCTCCCTGCAGGTCTTGCGACTTTGAAGGTTTTCTTTTTTTCTTAACAAAAGCAAAATCCAGTTGTGGTCACTTAGGGACTATATTCTCTTGCTGGAAACATACTACCATCAGCACCATAACTGCAGATAATTATCTTTAGAGCAGTCCTGCTATTCACATTTGCCTCAATTGCTGGATAGTCATTTAACTAACTTTGTCCACTTTTAAAACCTCATGGTTATCTTTTGAGTGACAGAGGTACAAATTATCGCACTGCCTTTTGGTACGTGCACCTTTTAAGCAGATATATTTTGGTTTCACTCAGGAGTTAACATGGTTGAAGAGCAAATGATAGTGTGGAGGCAAAATGAATTTGCCTAGCAAAATGCTTTAATCACAGATGTTGCAATTTTATCAATTACACCACTTCCCTTTCACTTGGAAGACATGATGCGCTCTGGCAGAGACAGCGTAGCGGTTCCAGCCATGCGGTGCATGGTTCTGGGGTCCCCTGGGCTCATCCCTACTCCCTGAGGTTGGAGAGGTGATCCTGGACTCTGGTGCAGGCTCTTGGGGTTCTCGCTCCAGCATCTTTTCTGGACTATGTTTACCTCTGAAGTGTCCGCAGCTACAGGACCTCACCGATGATCGGCCCCTTCAAACCACACTCTCATTTCCTGTGTTGCTGCACCATCGCTGGAGCTCACCATCTGCTTCTTCGGACACTTCTGGACATGTTTGCACTGCAGTTCAGGACACCTGGTTGATCATACTTATCTACTTCTACTACAGCAAAAAGTTAAAAGTTCACGGGCTTATGCTAGCAGCAATGCTGACTAGCCCTAACTCACGCTAACAGCTACAGGAATCCTGTCCGTGTTACAGACACATTTTCTTTGCCTCCTGTTAAACACGTAACTTATGCAGACAGAAAGGGCCAAACATGACATTCTGGTTACGCTGAAAAGAGAAAACATGAATCCACCTCCCACTGAGAGGCTTCTCTTAAAATTCAAGCATACTCCATTTCCAAATACCTTTCCTTCTAAATGCGGTAACTAAACGTTTTCCAAGTCACACCTACACTTACTAATCTCCTATCCCTAGAAGGCCGCTGGGAGTTCACAGCTCATCCTCTGTCTTCTAATTTAAAAAACCCATCATCAACACAGCCGTGGGAGAGTGCCGTCTGTCCTCAGCACCCGCTGAAACCAACGCTTAACTCTTGAGGACAGATACGCCTGTGCCCTAGCTCGTTAGGCCAGGTTCAGGAAAAGTTTTAACTAGACACGGACAAAAAGTTGGCAACTGTAGTCTTGGTCGGTACATTTAAAGCAAAATAGTGTTATTTTGTTGTACAACATACAGCTAAGTATTTTCTTTTTACTATGCTGGAAGTGGGCCAGCTGCCTGATTTGGCATTTAGAAGTGTGGTGAACCGGTGCAAAATTAATCTTATTTTCTTGTCATTCTATTACTAAGTGAAAATCAAAGGGAGGAAAGAATTTAAAAGGGAGCAAATATATTATTAGCTATACTGAGACTATGCTGCATTCACTTACTTGAACTTTGCGATGCTGCATTCCGTCTGCAGCAATCAAAACAGGTGACTGATGTAGAAGCATGGGAAAAACATGCAAAAGCACAAGTCTTGTTTAAAGGCTTTATATAAACAGAACGTAGCCAGATCTTGCGTGCCCCACGACTTCAAATTAAAAAGCAAGAAACTTTTTAAAGGCACTTAAAGGTACCAGGTAGTCTTAGTTTTTTGCACTCTGGATTTAAAGGTTTATGACAGAGAGCATCACGCTACGAGAGAATCTAAAAGAAAAGGCAACGAGTGCATTTTGTTTGTGTAAACTTAAATACACAAAGACTGAAATTGCTGGTACGCACGAAGTAGCAGATACTATTCTAAACCAGATAGTTAAGACAACTGAAATTCAGTTCAAGACGGTGAGACAAGTTGAGCTTGTAACTGGACGACACCTCTTTAAAGCAGAGCTTTTTCTCTAAGAATAGAAGGCAAGGTACTTTTATGTATTTTCATCTTTATTTAATGAGCACTTTGTTATTTTTCTCTAAAGATTTTCATTCATTTTATCTAGTAAAACCATTCAGTTCCGTAAATAGGACTCAAGTCTGGGCAGGTTGCGCATCTCTCTTGAAATAAAACCCAGGAAATGGTGGATTTTATGCATCAGCATTTCAGTATGCATCAGTAGTTTTTCTAGACTCTTTTACATACATAAATAGAGCACATCAAAGTACTGTTTCTTTCTACATGTTTATATTTGGACTCCAACTGCCATTTGTGCAAACCATTCTCATTTTGGAAGAAAGAGGCTTTCTTCAATTGCAGAATTGCCATCAAGTATCATTTACCTGCAATTCTGATGTGTACAGGGGATTACACAAAACGCAAAGCTTTCTCGCAGCTATTATATTAAACTCTATCCCAACTACAAGATTCAATAATATTACCAAAGTGATGTTTACGTTTTGGAAGGGGCTTTGATTGCAAGATGTCCACTCTTCCAGACTTCTCAGCTTTCTGGAATGAAACGAACAGCTCACTGAAGCATCAAAAACATATTTACACTTGGTTTGCTTTAGTCGAACCAAGATGAATAAGAGTCATAACGGTAGTATAACCATGAAGCAGGTCATCCTTTATGTCATTACATTCTCTTAATACAAAATTCCCAGTAACTATTCGATCACATCCTATTTCCCCATGTCCAAAAAAGCCAAAGAGGGGAACGTTTGGAAAAAACTTCCTAAATGCATCTGCTTCCATATTCCTTTTGGTTTTATAATGCCGATATCCTCTGCCAACACAGGCAAACATGAAGCCGATGGTGTTACGCTCGGGGATGTTTGCTGCTTTGAGACGCTGCATGGCGGCTTCTGCTGTCCTCTCATCAGCTACATCCTGGTCTAACAAAACAGTGGCGCTCTGGATCTGGGGACCGCTGAAAGCCAGCCCAACCACACCGCAGGCATCCCCGGGCTGGGCATTGTTACTGAAAGGCAACAGGCACCGAGTTAGAGAACGTTCCAGAGAGACCACTTCCGACCCGAATAAACTGCTGTGGCAAAAGTAGATTTTAAAGCAGACCAACATCCTAGTGATTTTGAAAGCCACCCGTAGTTAAAAAGCAAACCAAAGCCTTCAAATTTTAGCATCCCTCTTTTTTTTTTTTAGCAACCTTTCACAAGGAAAAACTTTCACATCTGTTACCAGGGATTAAGCATAAGCCTACCCTTAGGCTACCTCTGGCACATGCCACATTCAGCAGTTTGTGGACGTCACAGCTCTCTAATTCCAACTAAACTATCAGTTAAACTTAAGACAAGCAAAGATACTCAGCATTTACACATCAAACCAGGGCAGCAGTCAGTAATGGCTTCAGATTCACATTGCTTTAAGACTCCTTGGTTGGCCAGGACACACTGGTTTTACTACTTACCTACTCAGGCTTTATTAGCAATAATTTAATATACGGTCAGCTCTCTTATCTGGAGTAATGGTGCAGCTGGCATACATCATGTGCAAGAAAAATGTTGGTATTACTATGGAGTCCAGACCTGCGCTGGCACGAGAGGAGCCCGCGGCAACGTCTGCACTGCACACCCCAGCACAGGAGGCTCCAGTGAGGATGCACCAGCACCCGCGAATCAGACAGCACCAAGGGCTCTCCCTGTGCAGCAGAGCAGCTGGAGCAGCCGGAGCCCAAACCTGCCCTGCAGGATCCTAGCGGAGGGAAGGGGTTTAAGCTAGATGAGATCTAGCCCGGTCCTGTGAGTATCACGTCCTTTGGTAACATACTAGGTGTGCTCCTGGGGCACAGTCCTGTTTGTGTGTTCAGCTACTGCTCTGTAATGTGAACCAAAACAAGGCTGATAGAGAAACAAAACGTTCACGTAAATGGTCTCTGTCACAGTGAGTGACAATTTATCTGCAAGCCAGAGGGTAAACGCAGACTGCAATAAACACACATAGGGTATCTGAAGCTGGAAATCTCCTTCGCAGCAGGTTTCTCCTAGCCAGGTTTCCAGAATCCAATTTTTAACAGTCATGCAAAGCTTCCAGCTTTTCTGGCTAGATCACAGTGTAGCAGTTGGACTTTTATTCTCTTTAAAAAAAATAGCATTTTACTACTCTTAATGGGCATTTCTAATATGACATAACTAAAAGGCTATGGCTTCTGCAGCGTTTCTCCCATTTAAAATCTTCTTTACAATTTACCTTGAAAGAGATACCTACTTCTCAGAGGTCAGCGATGTAAAGCTCTCCACTTGTCCCCCAGCCAGGATGATACTTTTCTCATTCAAAGGATTGACTATTTGATGAAGAAATCGAGTTGCTCCAGACTTCCAGGAGTTGTAGCCAAACAGAAGAACCACCCGGAGATCTGGGTTGTTCTTCAGACCTACAAACCAAAACACAAACACCAGTCCTCTTACTTTTAAATCCTGACCCCTGAAGTCCAACTGTCCTAGTCTCTCCTCAAATAATACATCACACCTTTAGTAACGGCTTTCCATTGCTGCAGTTGGGAAAACAAGACACAAGTTGCCCAGGCATTCAGGAGCTGGGCAGCATTCCCCACGTAAGTGAGAATTTCTGAAAAGAACCTAGCAAGGAAAAGACGACTAGTGAGAATTTCTGAAAAGAACCTAGCAAGAACCAAGCATCTGCTTCCTCCAGCTTTCAACTTCTTTAGCAGAGCATCTGAGTTTTACCACAGCCTCTGAAGGCACAACTCTTAAGTTTTACTTGGCAGCCTTCATCATCCTTTTACAGGTAAGAACTGACCGTGTAAGTTATTCAACAAGAACCACAACGCAGTAAATAGCTTTACCTGAAAATTAAATACATTACATACATCAGCCAGTTCTTATCCCAAGGCAGAAACTCCCAGGTTCCTAGAAGACTCAAGAAAAAACTCGTTATATTACTCTTTGTAAATGATCTACCCTGCTGAGGACACAATGTGAGGAACGTGAACTGTATTTATCGAAAGATGCGGTCTTCCATTCTACCTTTCCTTGCTACGCCACCTGACTTCGGATCTAAATGCAAGGTTATTTTGGGAAGAAGAGAAGCAGTTCCTCCCCACTCATTTCTAAACCGTAGTGATGGGAATCATTCCCGATGGCGCAAACTCATTTATCGTGATTTTAAGCCAATTAGAGGTTGCTCAAAACCTAACAGCTCCCTCTGAACAGCTCCACTTGGAACCTGAAGAAATCTGAGATCAACGCTCAGGATAACTTAATCTTAATACTCCAGGGAATGGGAAGAACAGAGATGCGCAATGACCAGCTGCAGCCCTAGAGTGCCACAGCGTGCTCTACGAATGGAGTTCGCACAGAAGCCGTTGCTTCCACACTGGCGCCTAAAAGAGCGATACAGCACTTCACAAAAGCCCAAATGGAGGGGAGAACAGAGACGTACCTGCTTCAGCAAATTTACTTTCATCAAAGACCCTGTTCTTCAAGTCTTTTGAAAAATGGAAGGTATGAATTTTCACCCCATCGATTTTGGGAAACAACAGAGCAAACCCAGCTTCGCCCTCTTCAATTTCTTGAGGCTGATTGCTGCTCGAACCCATAGGGGTAACTACAAAGATACAAAACCAGACATCTTGTGGTCAGTGATTCTATTAACTTCCGTCTACGCTGTCACACAGGTTGAAGAGGCAGAACAGCTCAGACAATGTGAAACCTGACAGCTCATTTCCATAGCAACATATCTAATTGACAACCGGTGTGGGGTTTTTTGTTGATGTTTCGGCAAGATGAAGCATGTAGGAACGCTACTGGCTATAGATCACGCTGAGGTCACTTTGGACAAAGGACATGGATATACGTGGCCGTTTCCCCCCAGCCACACCGAACACAGATCAGTTGGAAAACAAGCATTGTGCAATGCAGCTGTCTCAAGCCTTCCTGCCAACTTCTGCAGGTACGCAAACATACTCCGATTTTTAAGGACCAGAAGTGAAACGGGGAAAGGTGTTACACAAGCGTGTGTAACGTTATACACGTGATGACAGCATACAGCAAACACACGCAAATATTGGGAGCATATTATGGAATTACGCTAGCAACAACAATCAAATACCCTACTTATGCTGTAGGAACAGAATTCAAGGTGAGAAACTAGGAAAAAACTTTCTAACGATAAAAAAGTGAAGCACTAGAAAAAGACTGCCAACGGAGGCTGTGAATTTTCCATAGTTACTGCGTATGGCTCCTGCTAGACCATAACAAATGAGTACGTACTGAGGACATCCTATGCAATTAGTCACAACGTGACTCTGAAAAATATAGATAAATCCAAGAAACGTTCAATAATTACACTAAGGTGCCAAGGAAAACTGCAATAAGCTGCCTGCTCAGTTAAATCAACCCTTTTAATTATAACTGCATCAAATAAAGTGAGAATTTAAACCCTACCTGACTTAGCCACGACACTATGAACTCCTTAAAATTTAAGCTAGTGCCGAGCAAGGTGGGTGAACATGGTACTCGCTATGAGAACTCTCCCGTCAGTCTGCAGGACTACGCTTTCAAAAACCTATGAAATTGTGATAAACAGGAACCGGAAGAGATGTGCGATACAGTGGACACCTTCAAGCTGGTCTCTCACAAAATCACACGTTTTCCTCCTACCTACAATCCCTGGGGTGACCAGTCCAAGAACCTGACATCGCTTTGGCAACAATTTTTCGAGCGCAATTGCCGTTTCTTTACTGTTTCTTTTCCTGGCTGTTAAAAACAAGAGGAAAGAAAAGCAGAGAGAGATAAAAAATTAGTTGTTCTGAAGGGTACTGGAACAAACCTTGCAGTCGGTCCCATCCTATTTAACCAATGCTGCCCATCAGTGGCCGCCCTGTTAACAACACGCAAATCTGTACTAATCGGTAAGAGCACAGGACTACCGGCACGCAAACAGAATCAATGTCCTCCAGCGAACGGGAAAGGAACTCGTCTATGTAACGTGCCGTACATCTACGAGCTGCGTTTCATATCACAAATGTAAAACTATGCGGTCACGGTTCTCGCAAAAGCTTTACTTTCCCTTGAAATTCGGACTCAGAGAACTCCCTGTCAGCTGACTTTCCTCTACGCGCTGTGCTTGCGTCCCAGGTGCTTCTTGAAGCGGGAGCGGGTTAGTCCAAGGTTTACCTTTCTTTTGCTCGTGGCACTCCTCGTGCCCGCTGAACGTTTCTGCGTCCGCTATGTAGAGCACGGTTTGCGGCAGCACGTGCACCTTCTGTAAAGAGACGGGAGAAGCCGCAGGCCTGTGCTACTGAACCGCTTCCGCGAGGCCCTGTTCCGCGGGAGGGAGCGAGGCTCCCGAACCAGGGCCGGGAGGAGAAACCCAGGAAAGCCGTTCCCCGTTCCGCCCCGGCTGCTGGCGCCAGCCCTCCCCGCAGCGCGACGGCGCCGGCGGCC